AGTAATACCCCGGAGTTAAACTTCGTTCTCTTTCTGATGCTCTTTGAATCATTTAGCGATTACAAAAAAGTGAAATATTCTTCCATTTTATTTTTACGTATTAAATATGCAAAACAGGCATAACCGCCACCCTATATGAAAACAGACGAAAACCGATGAGCGACCACCGGAGAGCATTTTTTATCAACAGACTTTTGGCATGAAGCGGCAACTACTCAAAAGACAACCTGGTTGTAGTTTGATGTATGCAAATTTTCAGAACAGTTTGAGAGATAAAAACTTGGCAGCAATTTATAATTTTGCATCTCCTATGTTTGCAACTACAACGGTTCTCAACTTTTTTTTTAAAGACATATTCTATGTATAGTCTATTGTGGTTACAATTTTTGAAAACACGGGTTCCAATTTATTAGTTTTCTTAAATCTTAAAATCACATTATAATTTTCAAAAAAGATTAAGAGTTAGTCATTTAATTATTACTGTACAACCAATTTTCTATAGTCTAAAGTAATAACGAAAACATAAAGTTGTTATTCAAAAAAATTTTTTAAAGAGTAAAGAAGAGTAACATTAAATGTAAAACATCTTATTGATTTTGTTTTAGATTCTGTTTTCTGTTTTAGAGAAGATTCTGTTTAACACCAGAAAATATTGTACTTTGATTTACATGATATTTTTTCTATGGTCAAGTTTTAAAATTTCACAGTCAAGTTAACTGTGATTAACAGTTCACTGCACTGCAGTCGTGTAACAGTCTTAGCTTTAGCTGTATATAAGTGTATATAAATGTTGTTGATGATCAATATAAATTGGATAAACAAATAAAATATTTGGTTATAAGACTACTGAATCTACCGGTAGGTGAAACTATCCAAACCAAACATAATCTTCTGCTCTGCTGGTAAATTAGATTGTCGTTTGAGTGTTAAAAAAACCGTTTTTTTTTGTGGCACATTTGATCACACTTTAATTTATGTCAGCTTATAGTATAGAAAAGCTTAAACCAGCTTAAGCTGTTTTGTTTTTTAAAGTAGGTAATTTTTTTTATCAAACTAAAACTTTTATACATTGACGTTTAATAGCTCTTTTTTTGGAAATTTCAAAAAAAACTAACCTAACAGAGTTGCTTTCAGTCCAAAAACTGCTAAAAAGTAAACGACTAGCGGCCGCTTATAACTCATACTTTACGGCATAAAGTTTTATTTTTCTAGTGAAATGTTGGAAAGCGGGTGGACATTTACCATATTTACGAATATCAGTTTAGAATTCGATAAAAATTTTCTAGTTTTTGAATGCTAAACATTTCAGTTCTATACAGTTGTTTTTTTCATTCTTTTGTCTCACTTTTTTGTCAGTCTAATTTCTGAAGCACAAGGTTTGTTTAACAAATAATAATATCGTTTTTTTTGTTTTGTTTTACGTTTCAAATCAGTAACT